CAACCCAGATAACATAATACTGGTGCTGTGGGCTGTGCAATTGCAGCTTCTATGTTTTTGTTTAACTTCTAGCTTTTGCAGTAATATAAATATTTAGAATGAAGATAGCGCTGTATTGAAAATTACCGTGCCATAGAGTTCCTCTGCCCTTTTACTGTACCATAGTGTGGGTAAGTTTTTTGGAGTCTGAACAAATCTACTGCGTTGCGATGAGGAGAGAGTGTCTCTTCTAGTAAAGATCGGCAAACTGCACGGTTGGCAGGACAACTAAAACAAGTGACACAAACCGTTCTAATATATCTGCTGTGATTGTAATAAACGGGTGTAACCAAACAACGCAGCAATGTCCCTGTTATTAAATGCTTTTCTTGGTAGTGTGGGTTCACCCGCTTCAATTTTCTTGGTGAGGGCCATGGATGTCAAGAGGCTAATGCTATAAATTTCTGGCTAAATAATATTGTATTCAGACACAGTAGACTCTGCAACCCCAACAAACGACGCGCACCACGACACAGACAGCATCGGCCGCAGTGATATTCTTTTACTGATGAGGGCTAGCGACCTTCACGAGACTTTCCGATCACCCTCCGCCCTCACCTAACGTATATCGGGACTGGGCAGTTAGTTCATCGAATAACTTTCAGATTATTCAAGTGATGCTTTAATTGCAATGTTGTTTTTTTTCCGGTTAATTGGAGTCTTGTGCTGGAGAAAGTCAACAAGGAGTAAACAATGCCTGCTTTAATATTTTTTACGTCTTTATTTCTTTTGTGACACTGGCTTGCACGGTAAACCACTTCAGCGTGCTTGTCATTTCACCGAGGGTGATTATACTGTTTAAATAATAACTTCATGTAGGACTCACAACGTGAAGTTTAGAATGGGAATGTAATCTGTCACTTATGACATAGTAAAACCAGTAAACAAATGTGTAGTTTTAACGTCTTTCACGCAATTCGACCGGCGAAAAATCAACATACGGATTTATTAATTAATTAGTCTATTAAAGGATAGCGATCAGTCGGGTTAAGTTTCTAATCAAACCACAGACCCACTCAACATTCAATGCTTTATGAAAGCCACGGTTTGCGTGAGATAACAAAAATACGTGGGACCAGCGATTGTGTGCAAACCAACACACTACGATTATGGACGCACGGGAAACGATACAACACAACCTTTCGTAAGAAGAAACGGCAACAAAAACATAAAACATTTAATAAGGAATGTCAAGCTCAGCCTGAAACGGGCTTGCGTCGTCGAGATCCATGCTTCTGAGCGTGCCCGTAGCAGACGACGCACGGCGGTATCCCCGCTTTCGCACGTTTCCAATTCCGGCCGCTCGGTGGCGACACGGTTCGATCTCGAGGCGAATACCTTTATTTACTGAATCGTCGTTCAGTGACGCGCGTGTGGTCACGGGAGGTGCGCTCTATGGGCACCATGCATGCGGATGCGCAGGAACCAGCCTGTCGAAAAACGATACATCTGTCGGCCAACTTGAGGTTCCGAACGACTCGAAGTCGTTCGGTATCTCAAGTTGGCCAACAGAGAAAGAGGTGCCAGAAAGGGGCGGGGCACTTACACCGACCGATGTTTGGGTATGCAAATGCAGGAGTGGGTTCGGTTTGAAAGCGCGCTCCGTCCGCTCGACGCTGCTACGTGCGCGCCCTTAGTTACATCGTGCCATTGTGCGGGACCCGCGCCCTTTTGTATCGACGCGGTCCCGAAGCAACACTATAGAGCGACGACAAAGCTCGAGTTACTTTCGTGAAGTGTATTAACGGAGCGTTAGAAGCTTATTAGCGGCGCTTGAATAACATCTGACCCTGGGGGGGCTCGATATAGATTTTCTTTTCCTTTTCCAATGGCGCGAGAAATGCAAGCGAGTGAAGGAACTTGATTTTCGATGTCAACGAAACAGGAATTGCGTGGAGCGTTGTTCGAGGACACTGGCAACCGACGGGTTGGACTTTCTCGTTGACTTGACGAGACGTTCAAGGATACCGCTGTGAAACTTAAAAAAAAAAGAAGAGTAAAAAAAAGTGTCCAAGAACGTTTCTCTGTCTAACGAGAAACGTGGTTTTATATTCCTTACTTCTTTCTATTTTTAACTTCGTAAAAAGAAAAGCAATATGTATTTTATTAGAGTTCGTTTGCGCATTAAAAAAACACAAAAGACACAGCGCGTGCTTTTTTTTTTTTAGACACAATGGTCTTGCACGTTTTCCGTTCCACAGTCAGGACATCGCCGAGGCGTGATGCCAGAGCAGTGAATTGGTGTCTAAAGCTGCGCTTCCATGAATTGCAGCTTACCACGTTCTCAAGATGTAGATTCTCTTTTCATTCCCAGTGTGGGGGTTCCGCTACCTCCTCACCTGCGTCGACAGGTTTACCCGTTGGCCGGAGGCACTTCCAATCCAAGACATCCGAGCGGACACCGTGGCTCGCACCTTCATCCAGGGCTGGATTTCCCGATTCGGCGTCCCATCCACTATCACAACCGACCGGGGACGTCAGTTTGAGTCTGCACTTTTCCACCAACTACTCTCACTTTTAGGAACAAACCGCATTCGAACAACAGCTTACCACCCCATGGCAAACGGCCTCGTCGAACGCTTCCATCGTTCACTTAAAGCGGCCCTAATGGCGCAACCTGAACCAAACAGATGGCATACAAGCTTGCCCATCGTACTTCTCGGATTACGAACAGCTTTGAAGAAGGACCTTGGCTACAGCCCAGCCGAGCTGGTATATGGTTCAACTCTTCGCCTACCAGGCGAATTTTTTGCATCCGCCTTACAAGAACCAGCTCCCGATCCCATGACATACACAAACCAGCTTAGAACGATAATGAAAAACCTCCGGCCCACGCTCCCACGCACACAAGATCGAACTGCAGTTTACGTCTCGAACGACCTCGACAACTGCAGTCACATATTTCTGCGAAGAGACGGAACCAAGAGGTCCCTCCAACCACCGTACTCTGGGCCTCACAAAGTACTTTCCAGGGCAGCTAAAACTTTTACCATCGACTACAATGGACGGCAAGAAACCGTTTCTGTTGACCGTCTGAAGCCAGCTCACCTAGAATTTCTTCCTAATGCAAACGACGCTGCCCATCCTCATATCCTCACCGCTCGCCCAACCACTGACCCCTGCTGCCTCCCTTCAAGTCAATTCCCCCGAAGTCATTCGATGCGAACTAATATACTGCCCTACAACTTCAACCGCCACGAGCCCTGCGCGCCATTTCAGGTCAACCGATATGGCTCCAGACACTTAGGAGCCAAAACGTCTGCGCCTGCCCTCGCTCGCGCCACGAGCGTGATACAGCGCAAACGAAAAGGACCTCGACAAGTTTCGTGGTGTTTAGCACCTACTCACATATGGGACTAGCACAAATAAATGTCTATCTTCGTCTGTCGCGGCGCAGCGAAGGGAGGGGAAGGTGAGTATTTGTGGGCATTGGCATACATTGACCGCCCACAGATGAAAAAGAAGATGCGATGCAGGAGCTCGGGACACGAGAGATCAACGGGCTCTCAAGCCGCGCGCTCGACCGTTCCGGCAAGCAGTGAACATCACCGACCCGTTTATCCTTGTAAATAATGTACATAAATATGTAGTGCCAAGACTTTGGCTCCTACACCAGGCTCGTCACCCTTTCTTAGTGGCCACGATAGTTGGTCCGCTACATTTTGTTTTCCCCCGTCATGGTATGTGTCAAAGTATAATTCATATGGCTCGAATCAATTTAGTCAAAGAATGGAAGTGGGAAAAAAATATTATTTTGGTGTGGGTTCCCAACTGTTTTTGTTTTAAAGGGATCATGAAATGATTTTTTGAACTTATTCCTCCTTAGCTTTAATCCTCAGCTCAAAAACGAAATGAGAAATCACGCGGTCGTGACGTGCTTCGGCACCCGAGGCGATGAGTCGAAGCTTCCACCGTGTTTTGAGAGCGTTGCTCTTAGGCGCCCGTTTCCGGCGTGAGGTCACGTGACCCTCCCCCCCCCCCCGAGGTCACGTGACACCCCCGCGAGGTCACGTGACCCCCCCCCCCCCCCCCCAAGAACACGTGACCCCCAGTACCCTTCCCTCCTCCTCCTCAAGAGCTGCGCTCTAATTCGGCGTTACAGGGATTTGTAAACGGCTTTAACTTTTGTTAAACACACCATGGAATTTTTCATTCTCAAGTGATGGTAAGTGCCGACAAAGAATAGCGAGTTGCCGCTATTTTCAGGTATGTTGACGATTTTAATATTCGTCGACGGATTGATTGTTGACGAGTGCATACGTCCGAGTGACGTAGTTCTCGTGTCCAATGAGGGAGCTGGGTTCGGACGGATGCATCACGACGGATGCATCACAGTGAAAAGGCGGAGAGCTTCCGAAGGAGAGGTGGTACAAAATAGTCCGCTGTATTCACAAATTTGCGTTCCGAAATGCAGGCTTTAGGCTTTCTACGCTCGTGTTCTAGTTTTATTTTGGCGTACTAAAATATATGCGGTTAGTAATATACCAATTTATACCCACCAAAAACTCGTTTCATGGTCCCTTTAATGATAAATAGAGACAGAGATAGATAAAGAGAGTGAAATAGAGCAAGAGAAAGGGAAAGAGAGTGCACAGGATGGGGAGTGATAAGGAGATAAAAAAAAATTAAGGTCAAATTGTTAAGTCATAATAATATTAAAAAGAAAATGAATAATACCAAGAGTACGTAAAGCTGACAAAGGAGATTTCGTATCAGTGATAAAATCTTGTTCGAGGATTTCTTATGCTTAACTAAAGTTTGCGCTAAATCTCTTAGAGACATTGAAAAAAAAAATTGTGCATTTTTGTTACAAATGCAAAAAAAGGTTTTTGGGCGTATGGATGCTATTTATCATGAGAAATCTCGGAAAGATATAATTACGAAATCAGTAATAATCGTGGTATTATATTTATTGCTACGATAGCTTTTCTTCCATTTCATGATGAAATTTTGATTCTGACCTTGAGTTGATGCTCCGTGAAGGCCGTCCGCGCCTTGCGTGGTTTTTTGGATGATCTCAGAGACATTGAAGGCATGGAATCCTCGTCTACAAGAAAAAAAAGAAACAAAAAATGTCGCCAGTAAATCACAATTTTTTTCTCATGTATTTCACATACAACGCAGTCTGACTTAGAATGACTGAGACAATGACTGAGAATAATGGGGAAAAAGAAAGATACTTCAAATAAATGATTTTTTTTTATTATAGTATCAACCGCGCAGACGCCAGGTTACGACTGCAAAGCGATAATTATCAAATTAATTAGCTAAAATCAAGGCATTAACTATTCAGATGTTATTCTTAGATGAATATGTTTGCCTTAGCTAGGCTACCTGCAATGCTGTTTGGTTTGGCGCTATCTAGCGGACTGAAGCAAGAAACATTGGGTATGCCTGGAAGTGGCGGCTACGTTGTTCAAACATGAGCTATTACTCTGGTGGCACTGCTTAGCCTAGTCTCTGAATCAAGAAATACTGGGTAGGCCAGGGAAGCCGTGATCGCATAAAATGTCAGTACTGCGGAAAACTACGGCCCCTGGGCGGCAAATCGGAACGTGACTACATATCATCGGAGTGCGCTTCTGCGATGAAGTATCAGGCCTTTAGCTGCGTCACGCTCCAATACGTGGGCGTTGCGCTCGTATACACGTAGCGCATATCGAAACCGTCGGCCACACAATGCGGGGACTTATCGTTCCACCCTTTGCTCAATTACAACGAGACAGGGTATAACCATGGGCCCTCACTCTGCTGGCGCCGCCTGGCTGTTGACGGCTGGCTCTAGTCCCCGAAGTGCACGACAGGCTGTGCGAAAGCTTCCACTGACAGCGGTTTGGTGTCGCAATGAGCGCGAGATACTAGGGAGTTTTAGTGGACCGTGTTTCCCCCCTACGCTAGCCCACTGCTACAAAGAAACCGCCACTGCGCCTGCGCGCCGATGGCCTTGGCTGTAGAGTTCAGGGTAGCGGAGAGGCTTAGTGGAGGGGGGAAACACGGTCTACTAAATCTCACTACTGTCGCACAGTCGTTCGCGTTTCTCTTGGTCGGGACTATACAAATGAAAATATTCTACGAAGCGCAGAGGTTTCAAGGAAATCAGTGCTAGTTTTTAAATACCCCCCCCCCCCCCCCTTTCCCTCTGAAAGTGACGACGTGATGACGTGACGACGTGACATCGGGACATCGGCGGCAGCTGATGGTCGTGCCTGCAGCGCGTAAAATATTCGCGGCAACCCCTAGTTGCAAGTGGCCTGCGCATGGGCCACCGAAAGGTGCCGACGGCTACAGGCTCGTCCGACGGAAAAGAGCAAGCCACCATCGGTAGCCTGTGCAAGTAGTAAGCTGTCTACAGTCCCGAGAACCCCAAGACTAAAGGCACTTTCTGTTTCAGGCCTTCATTCGGCCACCCAATGTGACAATATTAAAAAAAAAAAAATGCCTAACACCGTAAAAACAAAAACAAAAAACAACGTTTATATGCATTAAGTTTGAAACGCGAAAGGTACTTTTCGTTACGCATTGCTTTGAACGAAGACCTTGAAAGTTTAACGTTTGAAAACGTTTGGTAAATGGCCTCCTTTTCGGCCAATTTTTGGTGCTGTACGGAGTAACAAAAAATCACCGAAATCGTTGCGCCAAACTATTCCGCCTAAATGAATTGTACAGTGTTTATCAAAACGCCCGTGGTTTGAGTAGAGGCTAATCTGTTTTTCAACAATGCAGTTTTATGTGTCTATGATATTATTTCGTTAAGTGAAACATTGTTAAATGGTTCCTTTGGGTCAACTGATTATTTTCCCCTGAATTATTCAGTGTTTCGTCGAGACCGAGAATATAAAATTATGGATGTCAATTTTGTAGGTGGAGTACTTGTTGCAGTTGAGAAAAACTTGCGGGGCTCTTTGACGGTGCGTTCTTGAACTCAGCTGCAATTGGCACCTCTAATTTCTGTTAAGCCTTACTGGCTTTGACGTTTTTTGGGAAATCGGATATGCTAGGTGATCAGGGCTTTCCGCAGGATTCTAATCAAGGGGGGGGGGGGGGGGGGGGGGGAGGTGTTGCGAGGCGAGGCTTGATAAAATATAAAACTGTTTCTTTTTTAGTCCACTAGCTAAATTACAGACGTCTATTAACCAAATGCTCATACCCGTAATGCATGGTTCCCTTTCTCTACATATACACCTGAGAGGTGGTGTTTTCTACTTAATCTGAAAAAAAGAATTTTCTTTTTTTCTTTTAGATTCAAGGGCGGGTGTCCAGGAAAACTAGGGGGGTCTCAACCCCCCCTAGGGAAGGTCTAGAAAAATCCCTGTAGGTGATAGACTGAACGTAGAACGATATCGTATTCATATACTGGAAAATATTAAAGTTCCTGATATAAATTGGAACTTGAAACAGTCTATTTTGTTAACTTATCAATTTTTGTCAATTTGAACGACGACGATGAAGATATACGACCAGCGTCTACGCGGTCTGGTCCCCCGACGACGTACAGGAGCGGCACGCCAACCGGTGTCCTCTAAGTTTTGCCGCTGATGTTCAGGAGACTATGCCCGGACACGAATGCCTTAGGGGTGGCAGCCGTGTACTAAGGCTAGGCGACCTCCTGATGGAGCCCGATAACACCAATCCGCTAGGGCTTTTCCATCCACGACGCATGGTGAACCACCGGACACCACTTTGGAGGGCTCGCCCGCTTACTTTTCCGGGTTCAGCCAGTCGTGAAACCAGCCGGGCAGAAGACCGGACCAGCGAACAGCTCAGTAAAAAACACTGGGCCCTTATCACCCGTAAGCCCATTCCGTTACTCTCGCCTACAAGCTTCATTTAAACACATAGTTTAAACAGTTCAAACATAGTCAGAAGTATTGTACGTTACCAATAAATCATCATTAGACTCGGTGCCACAGGCCTTTATGATATGGCCAACTTGCCTTTTTGCGGCACCGCGGCTCTCCTGAGCTATAATAAATATCACATAATCCTATCTTTATCATATCAACTGATATTGCTTTATCTAAAGATAATTTTCTTTTGTCATTTGTTAACTTCTTTTCAGTTTCACGGTCCGATGGAATAGTTTCCGAAGCCCCGTGCAAACTGTGCTGGTTTATCCTTAACCAACTTTATTATGAATAATCTCGTATCTTTTTCGGATCCACTTCTTTCACCTGATACATGGCACGTTCCTCTTTAATCTACCTTCAAGGATTTTGTAGAGAAATTGAAGCAAACTGTGACTCGTTTGTCTTCTTGAGAGGATAATATTTAGGCCTTTTACAATACCTAACTAATGCAGATTGGGCACCCAAATATGACAGGACTGATGTAAATTGTGCTGTGGAAGCATTTACGACGTATACTGTATCTGCATTGGAACGTTTTGTTCTTAAAAGCATCATCATCATTGCCGTTATCCGCACTAATACTAAGATCTGCTAGCATCAGTTCGAAAAAACAAAAACAAATCCGAGTCTCGTGCCGTAGTTAAGTATCTATTAAAGCGTAATAAAATATTGTACCGCGACTCAGTAAAACCAAATACGATATAGCTTCGCCAATACTGGAAACATACTTGGGTAGTAATTCAATTACAGTAATTAAATTACTGTAATTTAATTACTTTTCCTGGTAATTTGTAATTGTAATAATTACTTTTGGCTAAAAGGAATTGTAATTGTAATTTAATTACTTTCTAGCGTCAGTAATTGCTAAATTTCAGGCACAATTACAATTACTTTTGCAAGATTTTGTGGCGGCGGCGCTTTTCCCCCCTGGCCACGGAGACGACAGCACAGTCAAAGCGACAGGGGAGAGAGCGTCTCCCAACCTGCTAAAAAAATATGGAAAAGAGGGATGGGAAAGAAAGGCTGGGATAGAACGGAATGAAGGATTTTGTAGACTGTAAAACGATTTAATGAAGAATTTGAAAAATAATTTGATAAATGAGGGCTACATTCGCGTCTGTTTTCGTTCCTGTCGTAGTTGAATCTGACTCTTCGTCTCGTTTGCTTCCTGTTGCTCCTGCTTCTAGGGGTCTTTCTTATTTCTCATTCCCACACGGTGGCATCGGAGGTCGAAGTCGAACTGGTTGGCTCCGATCACATCATTCGGTCGAGGCGGGGAGGTTCGAGGTTCTCCTTACGCGCCTTCGCCGCTAGCATATTCGCTTACATATTTCAGTCAAGTTCGGAACTTTTTTGTTCATGAAATTATTCTCTTTTCTTTACGAGTTTTTCACGTCCTTCTCCTCTATCTCGTATGTTGATACCACTAACAGTAAGTCGTGCTACTCTAACATCGAGGCGAAGAAGCAAAGAAGCAGCAGGTCTCATTAACACGACTCACTCTGCCTTACTTCCAACTGTTATTGCTACACTGCTCTTCCTTCTCCCAATCCTCGTCTACCTTTTTGTATAAATCTTCATTATTTAGTGTTCGCTCTACCTAACCCTTTCAACCGTTTGTCAGCCTGATTGGACGAGATTCCAAAACTTACAAACCGCGGCTTTAGCTGTGGGGAGCTTGTTTTTACATTTGTTGTTCGTTGA